AAACGTCATCCCGGGCTGTGATGAAATCGTAGACGGTTCTACCCGAACCCGTTTGAGATCCAACAGATCTACCTGATCTCCAGCTTCAGTTTCCTTGGACCCCTTGGAACATCCCTGATTGCTAAGGCTTGAAGAGATTGTTAGATCATCCGCCTGATTTGGGCTCTAAGTTTCCTGCAATCTCAACTTCCTGCTCGTGCAAAAATGAGTCATTCACATCATCATCATCCGAATCATACGAGAAGCCCTCCTGTCTAGGGGTAACTATAAGGCTCTCATCTACATCGACATGCGCCCTCGACTCCTCCGCCATTTTATCAATTCCAAAATCCTCGGGCTCCATTACCTGTATGTTACCAGGAAACAGATCTTCAACACTGCTCAAAGCTGATCGAATGGTAGCTTCGAAAGACGTCGTAGCGACAAAATCAGTGTAAGTGGGCTTTCGTCCAAGATGCTCCTCATCTGCAACAGCTTGCATTTTTGTTCTATACTCCTCCTCATGAACCCAACCGCCAGGACCCGTTTTTCTAGGATCTGCAGACATGGATACCAACTCTTCAGGACGGAAAGAGGAGCCGCTATCCGCATCGGAGGGGTTAAGCTTGCTCCTCCTTCGCCGGGCTTCTTCTTCCCATAGCCCAGCCAAGCTGGGTACAAGCTTCTTGTCCGGTTCCAGAGGCTGAAACATTTCGACGAAGTCCTGATGTATGGGCCGCTCCTTAACCTCGGAACGATTTATAATATCTTGAACATGGATATCAACTTCTAAATCGCAGTGACTCTGTCGTGGCAAAATGGAATTATCAAGAACAGCGCTCTCTGGAATGGAACGGTCATGCCAAATATGTGTCGAGTTTCCTAGATAGGTCGGTATCGGTGCTCGGAAAGTCACTTTGCTGCTCTTGAGATACGCACAGCCGTACAGATTGTAATCACACATCCATTGTGACAAATATTGCAGATGGCTCTCGTAAGGCTGCAGAACGCGTTTCATGACAGCTCCTTGTCTCAGAAGGTCGGCAAGACGCGTCATATTCATAGGGTTGAACAGGTATATCTTAAAAAAGAACCTGTATCCAACGTGATACCCGTAGAAGGGAATGCCCTTTACGAAGGTGATGTGGGCAACATACGCCATTTTCTTTTCGTATGCATTTCGGCGATAACTTATCGCCAGGGCGTGATCGACAGACAATTGAAGCGTGCGAATGGCAGTGTTTACTGGGACATATTAGGAAAACCTCCATAATTTGTTTGTAATTTATCAACTTCTTCAGAACGCGTCTCTCACCTTCTTTTGGATTCAAGCTTCCTTGATACTCGATGTAGAGATATGGGAATGCGCCATGTACGTGAGCGCATACCTTTTGCCCCGTCTCCGTCGTCCCGAAAACTCGGATGACGGGGACCTTCGGGCGTTCATTTTTCGGGACTGGTCCGGCATTGACAGGAAGTTGAGGATCAAAACTTGTCGGGACTGCCTGGTAGTGATCAACGCAATTCAGTAGAACCTGAAACTTTTCCATCTGCTAACTGGTGGTGGCCAATCTGGGGATGGACATTGCTCTGTGTTTGATGTGATATCCATAAATCAGATATACTATTGACACATTGAACATAAATCCCAAAAGGAGGTATAATCCAACAGAAAGTTCATTTTAGGCAATGTTTATCCCTCTTGGATATGAAATCGAGGCGATGACGGGGTGGCGCCACACCACGTGACTTACCTCCGGTGTGGCATCGCGATTTTGAGCTCGATCTTGCTTTAACCTTCTCTTCGTCATCTGAACTCCCACTCTAACAGTCTGCGAAGAATGCCATTGGCTTTTCTGTCACAGATTCCTAATATCCGATAGAGTGAAGTATACAGAGACATTTTACTTTTCATCTAGCCAGTATGTCTCGAAGACCAACAGATGTGGCGTCGAAGGAGCGCAATGAGTACATCCCCGCCTTTATCTCCAAGAAGCCTTTCTACGTCGACGATGAGTCTTCCGCAAATGACTACCTCGAGCATCAGCGACTCCAGAAATCCCAGACAGAGCAAAAATGGTACGACAGAGGGAAGCGTGTAGGACCAGCTGCGACTAAATATCGTAAAGGCGCATGCGAGAACTGTGGCTCCATGTCTCACAAAGTCAAAGAGTGTTTGAGCAGACCAAGGAAACTTGGAGCGAAATGGACGGGGAAAGATATACAACCAGACGAAGAGATTCAAAAAGTGGACCTAGATTGGGATGCGAAGCGGGATAGATGGAACGGTTATGATGCTTCGGAATATCGGAATGTGGTGGAGGAATATGAAGAGCTGGAAGCGTTGAAGAGACAAGCGAAGGATCGCACAGAGATGAAAGAGCTACGGACTGGCGACGATGACGAGGAAGATTATGAGGGAGACGACGGTGCTGAGGAGGCTAGATATGCAGAGGAGTCTGATATGGGCCGTCAACAGAGTACCGCCACACGTAACCTACGTATACGAGAAGACACTGCAAAATATCTCCTCAACTTGGATCTTGACTCCGCTAAATATGACCCTAAGACCCGCAGGATGGTGGATATGGGCGCACAGTCGGATCTGGCTGCAGCTCTGGTAGCGGAAGAAAACTTCATTCGGGCCTCAGGAGATGCTGCTGAATTTGAACGAGCTCAGCGATACGCGTGGGAATCTCAGGAGCGTGGCGATAAAGACAGACAGCACCTTCAGGCAAATCCTACATCGGGCGAGTATTTCAGAAAGAAAGAAAAGGAGCAGGCCGAAGAAAAGCGCAAGGCTCAACGAAAGGCGTTGCTAGAGAAGTATGGTGGCGAGGAACATCTACAGCCAGCTCCCTTGCGCGAAGCTGCGGTTATTGAGAACGAACGATTTGTCGAGTATGATGAGACAGGAGCTATTAAAGGGGAGCCCCAAAAGGTTTCGAAATCACGGTATGCTGAGGATATACTCATCAACAATCACACCTCGGTATGGGGCAGTTGGTGGTCAAACTTTGTATGGGGCTATGCGTGTTGTCATTCTACAGTGAAAAACAGCTATTGTACGGGGGAGGAAGGGAAGACTGCGTTTGAGGAGGCTCAAAATATGCTACTTAATGATATGGAAAAGGCTGGGGAGGAAGAGGAAGTACGGGGAGAATCAGAGAAAGATATCTCGAAGGAAGCATCCCTGCAGGCAAAGAAGCGTGATAAAACCGGTCCTGATACAAAGCTCGGGAAACGGACCCTCCAAGAGATGCGGCAGGGGGTTACCGAGGAGGAGCTTGAAGCCTACAAGAAATCGAGAAGTGCAGCAGCTGATCCAATGGCGGCGTATCTCGGGAAGGATGAGCTGGTTCGATGATAATCTGGCGAGACGTTTATAATGATTCCCCTTAAGATGTTGAGTGTGCAAGCGAATTGCTATAACTAGTTATGTTCGATAGCCATTTTGCTTACTTGAAACAAATGTACTGTACGAATATTTGTGATATGCTATAGACTAGGTATTTTAATTATATCAACATGCCAACTGGCCAGCATGTCAACAATCGGCCCTTATCAGTTCCTGTCCCTGACATACGCAGTCCGTGCTAGTCCCAAGCTGGACCCGTGCCAAGACGCTGCGGTATCCAGGGGGTGCAAAATCAAAAACGCGACAGAGCAAGAGAGCGCAGAACTCATCAGCGTGGAGGGGACACCCCATTGATGATTAAATCGTAGTGTGGAGGAAGATATCTGGTAAATCCGTTTCCAGAGAGTATGCAGCCACTTCATTATCTAGATTTCAAACATAGGATCCTTGGCAATTTCTCTGTGGTTTGCGGCTTGTTTATAGGGGCACACGGGTCAGCCTCAAGGTTTCCCTAACGACCAAGCTCCGGCTCAGCAGCAACGGTCATGACCTTGGCCATCTTAACCTTCCGCTCACATCAACCTCTCGAGTCAACGTCTGACTTCAATCACTTGCACTCCCTCTCAATATCTCGACCCACATTCCCTTCCAACGCGTGAACAGTTGACCTTGTCCGTCGTTCTCTTTTGCCGTGGTCCTTGTCGAGTCCTACATTCGTTTGGCCCAGAGACTCGCTCTGATCCATAAACGGTTCGATGTTCAGCGATGGATCAGTAGCATATCGTATAAAAGCCGGAACTCAGTTGTTCGTCCCCTTCACTCTCTCAACATCACTGGATGTATTGATATTTCGAGAATCCGTTCGTGCCATACTTCATCGTCCCCACTGGCTGGCGGTCGCCCGTCGCGGGCGAAGAGAGCAAAATATTGGGTGTGATCTGGGGAAATCTGGGGAAATCTGGGGAAGGAGAACATACCCTATAGTTTGGCGGTAGATAGATATCCTGGCTGGTGGACGCTCTTCGATCCCTTCCCACGCATACCCGCATACGAAAGATTAAACACCCCCCCCCCCCCCAAACAAAAAAAATGCCGTTACAGAAGAGCATGCCGCAACGGACTCCTCAGTCAAAATCCTCCAATCTGCCTCCCCACACCGATGATTCTGGCTCTGGAGGTAGGCATTTGCCCGTTCAGCAAAAGTCATCCGCTTCAGCCAAAACACAGGCTGCGAAGACTAACAGGCAGGTGCAAGCAGTGGAGGGTCCTCCGTCACGAAGGATGCAGAAAAATTCGTCCTCAGGTAGCATCACGACGGATAGCTCCAATTCCAGTTCGTTGCCTTTTAGGAATAACACGGAGCAGCGCCCTGGTGGTGCCCAAACTCGCCGAAGACAATCGATTAGGGAGCAGAACACGACAATTGGCCCGCGAAATGGAGATCCTGTGAAACGGTACTTTCAAATTCAAATAACTATTTTTTACGTGTTTTTATTTATGTTTTGTCAGTGAGCTAACAGTGACCCTTGTTCACTATTATTTGTAGGGCGTTCACCAATTATTCGAATCCTCAAACGTATTCCGAGAACCCTTCCACACAGCCCTCCACGTCTCACGAACACACGGGAAACTCAAGCTCTCGTTTGAGTTTTGGCTCAGCAACAGCTAGTGGTTCATTGAAGGATGAGAGTCCGACTCCCCCCGAGAACAGCGAGTTCCTCGCGCCAATCAGTTTCGACGATTTCCATAATAGTATCATGTCGAAAGAACCAAGTTTAAGTCATTTCCCTCTTCCTATGGCCAGCAGTTATGATTTGAAACCCCCGGCTCCAAGATCGACGCCGAGGTGGTCAAGCCAACAGCCACCGCAAAATGGGAACCATGTGCGGACAGGCCAGCTGGCCCGAAGAGAAAGCAATGCTTCACGGAGCACAGTGGGGAGTGTAACAGGAGTAAATGGAAATACTCAACCTCAAGGAACTACTGCATCTCGTCCGCGTCGGCTAAGCCACGCTCCTCCTCCATCTTCTACTGCTTCAACGTCGCGGCCGCCTAGGAAATCTATTGGACCGGGTAGCTTGATATCTGACAATGGAGATCGCGTTGCTCCGCGGCGAAGACCAAGTTTATCAGCAAGGAAAGTCTCGGATGCAAATCGTCCAGACCAGCCAAATTTTAACCCTCAAAACTTTGATGTTGGTGGTCCTTCCGAGTCTACAATGTTTCTAAATACACCTAGGTATCAAAAAGCAAAATCGTTGCAACCACCTTCCCGAATAACCAGGGATAGTAGGGATAGCCTGTTTGTTCCATCTACTGGGCCAGAACCCTTGAGGTCTTCGTCAAATAATGCTGTTCGAACTCCAGCCAAGACTGGACTAAATCGGACAACTACACCCTCGTCATCCAAGCGGATTTCTGTTATGCCACCACATGCTCACGGCTTAGGGGCACGAACGATAAGCCCTACCGATGCTAGGCGTATGAAAAGAATGTCGCTGATGCCCCAACCGCCGCCCATGCCACATACTCCTCCCACACAGCAAAACATTGTGCTTCCCAGACCTCGTTCTTCTGCCCAGTCTCCTTCCATGATACCGAGGAAAAGTGTCACCCCTTCCTCTTCAAGGACCACTCCTGATCCTCATCGCAAATCCTACAGTTCGGGGATTTCATTATCATCCAATACCAGTTACAATTCTGCTCGGAATTCAAACGGGTCCTTGCAACCCAGGCTTTCGCAGAATATTTCTACCTCTAGATTGCCAACTCCGAAACCACGTGCAGACAACGCCTCCAATAACGATGAGGAAGAAGTCCCACCGGTTCCAGCAATTCCGAAGGCATACGAATCGCCTAAGACTGAAGGAGAAGTCCAATTGCCTCCTGCTCGAAAATCTAGCCTGCCGTCTGAAACCGGATCACTCAGAGATAGTTTAAAATTGAATTCTGGTAGCTTTGAAACTCCTAGCAAGGGGCCTACAATAGATGACTTTCATGTTGCGAGACCAGTTGTCCATAGGATGGAATCTAAACCTCGACCTGTTTCAAACATTGGGTCGCAAAAATCTCCAACCATTGAAGCTCCCACCACTCAATTTATTGCCTCTAAGCGTTCCTATGACTAACAAGATTGAATCTTTGCGAGATAAAGCGACCCAGGATCCGACCTCGCACGTTTCCCGTACACCTCCACCTCGCCAAATAATGACAAAGACTCCGACTACCCCAATGACCGCTTCTAAAGCAAGCTTCTTTTCCCACAGTATACACGATCAAGAACCCCTGCCATCCACCCAACTCAGGAGCACAAGTTCGCATCATGCCCTCCTCACCGACCCAATACGGTTCCGGGCCCAAAATAGCTCAAGTGCTCTTGAGCCTCTGGATATTTTGTCTGACCGTAGAAGCATTTCTCCCTATGTATCTTCATCGTTATCAAAGGCTGGTGGCGAGTTTTCTCATGTTCGACCTCAGCTTCCCAGCGAATACTCCAGGAATAATGCGAGCAGGCTGACCGGCCCGCGGCCTCAAACCCAGTTTGCTACTATTTCACCACGTCTTGAGGCGTCGAGTTTGGGACCTCAGACAGCTGACACCGAATCTGAGAGCAGCGCACCGTCGTTCACGCGGCGAAATCCTAGCTTGGATCACCAGAGGACAAATTCACATCACACCATCAAGGAACCAAGCAACAATTCATCCAAATATGGCAACATGCCTCCTCCGAAACTTCCAGCTTCAGCTACTTGGAATGGCCTATCAACAGTTGGACAGAATACAGGTTCCACCAAGCCTACCTATCTGCATTCGAGACGGAAAGCATCGACGTCGAGTGTCACAAACGGTCTGGCCCAATGGACCCAAAGCATCAGCAGCGACCAGACCTTGGTGCTCAACCCTAGCCCTTCCACGGATGCTGGCGATATAGACAGCCAGCCGAATCGCTCGACGTCATCCTTATTATCGCCAGTGCATAAACTTCTATCGAGTTCCAAATCAACAACACCAAAACTTCGTCTTCAAGACCAGAATCTTGATCGTGATGACTTGTTAGCTGAAGAAGAAATGAAAAGACTAGGCAGTAAACGGAAAGATTTTGAGACTTCTGCTAAAGAGTTGGAAGAATTGCGACGTAGGGCAAGTCCCAAGGAGCGGGTTGGGCCAGGCCAGGCTCTTAAGATGGCTAGCTTGAATATCTTCGAGAAAGGTGAAATCATTGATTTTAAGGATATCTACTTCTGCGGTACGCACAAGGCGAAAAAGCATGTCAGCGATCTTAGTGCCCAAGCTGCAAATTTTGGATACGATGATGAACGCGGCGATTACAACATCGTCATTGGGGACCCACCTCGCCTACCGCTATGAAATCGTGGATATTTTAGGCAAGGGAAGTTTTGGTCAGGTGGTCCGATGTGTTGACCATAAAACCGGTTCTCTCGTTGCGGTGAAAATCATCAGAAATAAGAAGCGATTTCACCAGCAGGCACTCGTTGAAGTAAATATTCTGCAGAAGCTTAAGGAATGGGTATGTTTCCCCCTATCTACACTCCGTCCATCCTATCTCGTACTTTTCTAACAAAGCTTATAGGACCCTCACCGACGTCACAGCGTAGTGAACTTTACTCAAAGTTTCTACTTCCGTGGTCATCTGTGTATATCGACTGAACTTCTAGGAATGAACCTGTACGAGTTTATCAAAGCTCATGACTTCCGTGGATTCTCCCTCAAGCTCATCCGCCGGTTTACGAAGCAGTTGCTCAGTACTTTAGTCCTTTTACATAAGAACAAGGTCATTCACTGTGACTTGAAACCGGAAAACGTACTTCTAGCACACCCTTTGCATTCAGAAATAAAGGTGATCGACTTTGGCTCCAGCTGTTTTGAAAACGAGAAGGTGTACACGTACATTCAGAGTCGCTTCTACCGCTCCCCTGAAGTTATATTGGGCATGTCATACGGTATGCCCATTGATATGTGGAGCGTGGGTTGTATACTGGCGGAATTATTCACTGGCTATCCTATATTCCCTGGTGAAAACGAGCAAGAGCAGCTAGCTTGCATTATGGAGGTGTTCGGTCCCCCCGAAAAGCATCTCATTGAAAAAAGTACACGGCGAAAACTTTTTTTCGACTCTCTTGGGAAACCCCGCTTGACGGTCTCATCCAAGGGGAGAAGAAGGAGGCCAAGCTCGAAAGACCTCCGCCAAGTCCTGAAGTGCGATGATGATGCTTTCCTAGATTTCATCACTCGTTGCTTAAGATGGGATCCAACACGAAGACTCACTCCAAATGATGCTTTAAACCACCAGTTCATCACGGGCATTAAGTCCACCACTCGATCGCGGGGCCACCTTCCCCCGATAAACTCACCTGGAAAGCGAATTACTTCTGGACCCGCTTCGTCGACGATACGGCCGCTCCCCAATCCCCCATCCCTTAGTAGCAAGGGCGCTGGAAGGCCCCGGGACATGCCAAGTCAATCACCTGTTAAAGGTACAGGACCAAAGCGGAGTTCAGCCACCACAAACGTATCCGCGGCGAACAGTACTACAAAACGGACGTCCAATGGAAATCCAATTTCTGGTTCTGCCTTACCACGGGTTACGAGGGCTACGAGTGGAAAAGCAGATCTCGCAACAGCGGCAGCGGCGACCAGCTTGGTAAGCTGAAGTCCGAACTCCCCGACGTCGCGGTTTTGCTGCAGCTCCACGAAGTGTACTGACCCGAATATTTCAATGGTGCAGAAAGCACGGTGACAATGAGGCCTATCTCCTGTAGTGTGATAAATTAATCTTGGTCCCCTTTATCAATGTCTCCTAAAAAGGAAGCAGAAGAATATACTCCATTGACAAAGTCTCATAACGGTTCGAAATGTGTCCCTTTGTTTCATATTTCATTTACTCATTTCTTTTCAGTTCATACCCCATGCTCTGCATTTGCGCTTCTTTTCTGTATCCAGTTCCTCTACAAGAAAACTCGCTTTCTTGGTCATTATACATCGCGCGAGTGTTGTTTGATATGCCTGTTGTATTTAATCCAACGTCCAGTATTCACTTTTGCTTTGGACCTCATTTTCGTCTCTCATGATGTAGAGCAAATCAAACAAGCTTCTCTTTCCCTATGTTTATTCCAACGGGAATAGAAACTGGATTTTATTTTCGGCTTTTGATCTCCCCTTTGTTGCTTTTGTTTTATCAAGTTTCCATCATCGTGTATCTTTTCATTAGCATCTCTCGGTCCTCTTGCATCTGCCAAATGCCATATATCACACTTCTTGGAAAGATCATTGACTCGATTATCCCGCTCGCGACTGCTGCGGGTCAATTTCGCTCATATTCACTTTCTGTTTGTCGTTCGGTTTTATGGCTGCCTTATATTCATTTACATCACTTCCTTCCTTTCCTTTCTCCTTCTACTTTTTTTCTTTTTTTTTATTGTTTTTTTTTTTTGAAAA